TCTTCCTCATGTCTCAATGCCTTGTATAAAGGGACGAGAAGAAACTCCTGGATGGTGTCATTGATGCTGGTCCAAAGTCATCGGTTTTTCATGTTGCTGGTTTCAGCATGGGCTCTTGGATTCCACAGGAATCCATAGTGTAGATGATCTCTGTTGGACACCTGCTGGTACTCTAGGTACATTTCTGTACCAAACTTTTTTCTGGAGTCTTCATATATGAAGTCATTCTACCAGCATATACCCAAATCTTATTGAGAAATGTTCGGATCTCCTCTTCACGAAGGGTGGAGTTACCCTTCGTGAAGCTTATACCCAGGGGCATCATCAAGATAACATTTTTAGGCAACACTTTATCCTAACTCAGACTCCTGTTGTTGGGGATATCCAGTTCACTGAAAAGAGCACTGAAATGACCACTGGGTTAACTTCTTTCAATTGAAGGCCAAAAGCAGCTTCATGGACTCAGAGGTTCCCCTGAGGATCTCAGGGAAATGGTCCTTGCTCTTTTTGTTAACAACATTAAGCAATGCTGCTTTTGTAATGAGCTCTTTAATTTTACACTTCTCCAGTAGGAACTGTACTACCAACCTTCCCTTCCTGAATAGCAGTTCTCTGTGTGAGCTTGAGTGAGGCTGCTGCTGAAGAGGTGTTTGGCTTTTCCTCATTTTGGCTGTTGGCATCTTCATCAGATCTTGTGCATGAAACATCTACAGAAGCAGTGATGATGAAGGTGGCCCTCTGAGATTCCTGGAGAATGTCAGTAGCAAGATAGATCTGAGGAGCACTCCCCAAAACAGAAGAAAAGGAGGAGATGGACTCCTCCTCTCCTGCAGTGATACGAGCACCCTGGAGACCCTAGTGGCATTTCTCATGAGTATGGAACTTACTCTTCTGACCCCAAGACATGACTATGGGCAGGGAGAGCAGACAGAAGTGTGAATAGGATGGTTGCTGAGACAGGCACCTGGTGGAAGGAGAATGAAATAGTGTGAGCACCGTCAGCAGGGAGTGACCGACCACCTTGGCTTTAACCAAGGCTGCCAATCCAGGTTTCTGTGAGATCACTGATCTAGGAACCCACAGGCAACTAGTTCTCCCAGTCAGCCTGTCCCCTGAGAACCCCATAAAGCAAGTTAGAGTCAGTCTTAGGCTGCAGCTTGACAGCTCAGCTTTGGACCTACTCGGGTGGCAGCAGAGACTGTGGGGCTCCCTGTGTTCTGGGGTTGGGGAGTAGTTTCGGTGGACATTCAGGATTATTATGCTAACTAACTGTTAGCAGGGCCTGGTACCTCTTTCTTGTGCTGCTTTGAAGTTGACACTTTAAAGACCCCTGGAACCCACAAAAAGTAAGGGAGTGCCTCAGCCTACCATCACTGTCAGGGGTGACAACTTTGGGGGATTCTTTCTGTCTTGGGATCACTGGATCCTAAGTCCTTATTCAGAGTTCTCATCTTGGCTCTGTGTAGGGCCTGGAACCCTCTCTTCTGCTCTATCATGGCTTCACTTTCTTACTAAGGATCTCACCTCCTGTAGACCCAGTTTTTAAACATTGGAGAAGCCTCTACCTGAAGTCCTGCTATGGACTTTCAAATGCTGAAAGCCAGGGTGGGGGCTGGACATTGTGTTTCCTCTTCTGTTGGGGGAAGGAGTATGATCACCTTAGTCTTTACCTGGAATCTTCAATTTGACTCCTAGAAGGATCTGCAGATCCTGTATTCTTTGAGCTGAGGGCATCTCCTCACAGCAAGGCTGAGAACTCTCTGAGACCTAGTAGAGGGAAGAGAGGGAAATCCTATTTGGCCATACCTGTCTGTACTCTCCCAAGACAGAAAGCTGTGGCGGGCACTTTGGGGCCTCATGATGGTTGGCCTCACCAGTTCTCGCTCAGATTCTTCATTTTGACTCATGACAGTGCCCACAATTTCTCCATTTCTTGGCCCATTACTGACCCCCTCAGAATAAGGCTCTCATTTCTCTGTCACCCTGAAAGGAATTGAGGGGTGCTTTTGCCCTGCCTGACATTTCTCCCTGAATCTCCCAGGACTAACAGGGGAGCGATGATGTGCTGCCTCCATTGTTGTTTCATGTTCTGCTCCTTCCTCATGGTCCTTACCATGACTCCTGGCTCAAGCTGGTAATGTTTTCTATGATAAGATGACGGGCCTCAGACCAAGTTCCTCAACACCTGGAGTCCCCAAACCTGGAAGTCAAAGTGATCTCACTGTAGCTATTTGGGGATTCTGAGAACGAATAGTGGGAGAAAGAGTCTATGAGACTCCACTGTTCAAGGGTTGGTGACTCCTTGAGTTCTCACTCAGCCAGGATCTCTGACTCCTCCCTCTAGTGATCCGAGTCCTCCAGGGCTAGGAATAAGTGGTTGATGTATCCAGTTATTTCTGCCTGGAGATTTCCAGGGCTGAAAGGGACAGAGCTATGTGAGTTCCTCTCTCTTCTAGGTTGGTTGCTCCCCACAGTCCTTGCTCAAGATCCTCACAATGAAGAGTCCCAAAAAGTAGAGGTCTTTCTGTTCATCTACAGCCTTTAATTCCCTAAGACTACAAAGAAGAATGTAAGAGTTTCTTCACCTGAGCACAAAACCCTTATGTTCACCCAGGGCTGACATCATGCGAGGGATTCTGCATTGTCTATACTTTTATGATTTGAGTGCTTCCTTCAATCCTCATGGTCCTCAGCTTGGCTGTTTGCATGACCTGGAATTTGTCCCTGTACTAACCTGAGGCTAACCCCTTAGTCCAGGTACCTTACCTTTCTGAGATGCCTTAAAATGAAATGAGTGGGACTTGTCATCTCTGAATTCCCGGATTTACCAGGGAGAGACATCAATGGCAGGATTCTGTGTGGCTCCACCTGTTCTGGTAGGAGTACCATCAACCCTCTTTAGGGTCAGCAGTGTGACTCCTGTTAGACATCCTCTGCTGAATTAGTTGCTCCCATTAGACTAAGGCTCTCACTTCCCTGAGACTACTCCCAGAGCAACTGAGGGGCCTCTTCAGCCTGTTAGCTCTTCCCTGGGCCTCCTAGGTCTGACAACAGATACAGGACACTGTGCATTCCCTCCGTTCTGGGGTGAGTGGTCTCCTCTGTCCTCCGTCAGTATCTTTATCTTGACTCCTACCTAAACAAACCTGAAACTCCACCCTCCACTGACAAGGCCACACTCCTCAGACCAAGGCCATATCTTCCTGGAATGTCCCAAATGGAAGCTAGGAACAGCTACATCTTGCTATAGTGATTGAGGATCTCCTGCGGATTAATGGCAGGGTCAGAATCCTTTTCCACTGTTTTGGAGTCAGTGGCTCCCTCAGTTCTCACTCAGGTTTCTAACATTGATTTGGGCATGTGGAACTCCCTCCTCTACTAATCTGAGTCTGTCAGCCTCAAGCCAAAGCTTGCCCTTTCCTGAGAAATGAGAGGGGGAAGTCAGGGTGCTACTTTGTGGCTACCCCAGTGTCCTCACCTTAAATACAATCCAGGCTTGTTAGGATCTCCTTTATGGACAGAATCAGAGCTACTGCCATGAGATCAAAGCCTTTATCTCTCTGAGGCATCAGTAGAAGACCTAGAGAAAGTGAGGGGGAACCTCAACCAGATATCTGTGCCCAGGGCCACTGAAGGCAGAAAGAAGGATAGAGTTTCAAGAACCCCTATTGTTCTGGGTGGATCATTACTCATTTCTCATTCAGAGTCCTCATTTTGAGAGTTTTCAGAGTCTGATATCCTCTTCCCACTAACCGGAGCACACCACCCTTAGACCAGGATTCTTAAGTACCTGAGAAACTTGAAGAAATAGAGAAATTTTAGCTTACAGCTATAGCTTCGGCCTTCTAGATCTGAGAGTAGGCAGGGGCTGCTCTCTCAGTGATCCCTATATTCTGAGGCATTGGTCTCCAGGATCCTCATTGATCGGGGTTTTCATCTTGCCTCCTTTAGCTTTAAGACTGCTGGGAAATGTCACAGACTTGTAAACAATTGAGCAGATTCTCTACTGCAAACCTTGCAGACAATGGCTCCCTGTTCCAGGTTTTGTATGAAATAGGGAAGCTGTACCACAAGGCAGGAGGCCCGGCACAGGTAGTGGGCTGTCAGTGGAAAAAACACTCTGATCTGTTCCTTTGTTTCACCAACCAGACTTAGCATATTAGGTATCTTGGTTTGAGTAGATTTAATTTCTATGGGGAAAGGGCAGAGCAGGATAATTTTGGGAGCTCCTGATCTTACCAGGTTATCTGATGTTGCCTATGAAGATAATCATATTGTCACTGAATATTATTTTTTCTTCATACTACTCATGTATTCAGAATTATTATTACTCTGTTTGTGTATTCCAAAGAAGTGCTTTGTTTACTGTGTACTTTTAATGCTCTGATAAACATTTTGGGCAGTGAAAGGAAAAGTGAATTAAAAGACACAACATCTGACTCAGGCTGAGAGGGCTGGAAAAATGTGGGCTCTAGTTGAATCCAGACCAGAGACCTAATTCCAGCTCTGTAAATTAGAAGCCTGTGAACTTTTAGAAATTGGCCACTTAGTCATTTCTGAAGTTAGTCTGCTAAACCCTATCTTGTTGGAATTTTGGGGTATAAGTATTGTCTATAAGAAATATGGCTTACTAAGTGGGAAATACTGAGTATCTAATAAACGGCAGTTACCATAATGTGTTTTTACATAATATTATTAATTTTTAATTTTCCTAACCATATATTCAGAAACAAAATTACCAAGTTGAAAATATTTGAGACAATTTAAGCCTATGGAAGTTCTTTAAATTTAGCAGCCTCATTTCAACAAGGGTTTTACTGAACTCATTCAGGCTTATATTGATTGCTACACTTCATCTAATTATTTTAAACATAGAAAATACCACCCTCCAACCAGAGAGACTTTTTGAAACAGTCAATAACATAGAATATGCAGTGCACTAGAACAAAACACACTAACAGCAGTCTTTAAGAACCTGAATAAATCCAGGTATCCTTTATTTAAACTAAAATAAATAGAAAAAAAATAAGGCAAACCAAGAATTAAGGAACATTTACATTTCCTTTTTTCTTTCTAATCATATTAGGATGTCAACTATTTTCCTATGGAGTTCATTAAGATTGATATGAAAATCCCTTCTCTATTGCCATTTTATCTAGTTCCGAATTATAACAAAAATATGAATGCTGTAAGATTTGTTTTATTAATACCACAACCATAACTTTCAAACTGGTTAAACAACCATGAATGTGAAAGCTAAGTTACTGACACATTTATAATCTGAAGCAATATAAACCTTCACTTAACAGGAACAATCTTGAAAATTGATGAAGAAAGCAAAACATAAATCTACAAATTACTCATGTGTAACAGGACAAAAGAAACACGTCCTGTTCCCTCCAGCCTCTACTATACTGTGCTACTTAGAAGGCTCACTACTCTCCTTTAACATCAAGCAAAAATTCTACTTCAGACCTCCCTAGAAATGGGAGGATCTGTAGGATGTGGCCCTGTAAGGTGCCCTGGCCAAGGAAACAGTGGCAGCTGTGCCTTAAAAGTTCAGTCTCAATGCTTTCTGTACCTCATCTATCAAAGCCTCTTCATATAGATGTGGGTAGAACCCAGGGACGGTGTTATTGAACGTGGCAAAAACATTCAGGGCTCTCATCTTGCTGGTTTCAAAATGGGCTCGTGGACCCCACAGGAATTCATAGCGTGGAGGATCACTGTTGCGCACCTGCTGGTACTCCAGGTACTTTGCTTGCACCAAATCTTCAGTAAGGATCTTCTTAGGATTCCCATAGAGTGGGTGTGTCATCCTAGAGGAGATCCCCAGCAAGGTCAGAAAGTCCCAGACCTCCTCTTCAGTGGCACGGTTGCCTTTCACGAAGATCAAACCCAGGGCCGACATCAGGATACCTGACTTCGCCAGCCCATTATGACCACTCAGAATTCCTTCACTGGGCAGGCCCAGCTTGCTGACAAGGGTGTAGGATTCACCACTAGAATCTATTTCTTTCAATTCAACGCCAAAGGCCACCACCAAATGTTCGGAGGTTTCCTTGAGGATCTCAGGGAAGTGCTCCTTGTACCTTCTGCTGACAAGCTTCAGCATGTCTGCCTTCAAAATGGACTCCTTCTTCTCAAACTTCTCCTGCAGGAATTGCACCAACTCCCAAGACTTCTTGTCTATAGGATCTTGGCCTAAGCTCTTGAAGTACATGGCTCTCTGGGAGGCATGTGCACTCTCCTCATCTCCACCCTTGGCAGCCACATCAGATTTTGAGCATGAAACACCTGCATCAAGAGAGGCAGCAGGTGAAGTTCCCTGAGACGCCTGAGGAACAGAGGCATCAGAAGACTTAGGATGAGCACCCCGATAATCAGGAGAAGAGATAGTGGAAGAGCGGGGCTCTTTTTGCTTCTCTACAGTGGACTGAGGACCCGGGAGACTCTGCCGCTGACCATGGGTCTCTCGGCGTTTCTCACGGGCACGGTGCTTACTCTTCTGACCCCGAGGCATGATGACTATGGCTGGTGACAGCAGGTAGGAGTGTGGGTGAGAAGGCTGAAAAGGTTGGCACCTGGATGGGAGAGAGTGACATTACATCAACACCTTCACCAGAGAGCAACCATCTTGACTTTACTAGGGCCCCTTCTGCAGGTTTCTGCTAAAGAACTGCCCTAGGAAATCACAGGACTCCTGTTCTCCTGGTCACTTTGTCTAGTTCGAACTCAGGAGGAAGCTAGAGTGAGTATTATACTATAGCATGATAGCCTATTTTGGGGCTTACTGAGGTGACAGCAGGGGCTGGCGGTGCGGACCCCTCTGTTCAGGATCATCAAAAACATTGCTGGCAAGACCCAGAGCCCTTCGGCAGCTCTGAAATTGACACCAGAAATTTTTACAATACTAATGAGGTGGGAATAAAATAGCACTTCTGCCTAACACTTCATTCTGGGGTGACTCAGACCACCTAGGGCTGACAGCACTGAAGACCTTTGACTGCTCTTGCTGTTTTAGTGAGAATTGTCCCCATGGTAATCAGACTCCTCACCCCGACTCTTCCCACAACCTGGAAATCACCCTCGCTGACCTGCTGCCATCTCCTTACAACCAGGGCCCTACTTCTCTGATGCTCAGGGAACAAAGTGAGAATGCACTTCAGTCTCTGGAGAACTGCTGGGACCTTGAGGATCTCAGGGAACCCATGAAAAGGGAAAGTGGGCAAGGTTGGGCAGAAGTCAGACTAGGATGCCAGCCTGCCAAAGCCTTGCTGAGCCTGGTGGAGAGCCTCCAGAGCACACAGAAAGATGTTCCTGTACTCCAGCCAGTGGGCCCTCTCCCTTAAATGGTATGTGCTGACCTCATTACAAAGTATCTCCTTGAGACCGACATTTAAATTTCTCAGTCTTTAAGCTGACTGACATCAGCAGCAGAGTTTGGTGTCACCCCGTTCTGGGGCATGGAGTCCCCTCAATCTTAAGGAGGGTTCTCTTTTAACTATGGAGTGCCTGAGATTTCTCTCCCTCCTGACCTGAGTCCACCAGCCTTGGACCGAGGCCTTTATGCTCTTCAACCCGACGGAAAAAGTGAATGCACTTTGCGCCTAGCGGCCATGCTTCTGGACTCCTCAGGGACCGGCTCAGGGGCAGGATGGGACAGAGCTCTGTGGAGCTGCTTTTTTTTTTTTTTTTAGGGTAAAGGGTTTGCGGTCGTCGGGGCATTTACCCCCAGTTTTAGGTCAGGATACCCACCAAAACAGCTGAGAAGATCTGGAACACAGCTGAGGTGACACAGCACTTTAAGGATGAAGGCTTCGGGCCCAGTCCCCTTTCTAGTCAGAAGTAAGGGGGAACTATTTCCGGTCACCCCCACCTGGCATTCCCAGCATAACAGCAGGGGCGGGGCTCTGTCATTCTCCCCGGTGTTGTGTGGGCACAGCAGATTCCACAGAACTCACATAAAGTTTTTTCAGGGGCTCTTCGTGGACGCTTGGACTTCTGTCTGTTGAGGTAAATCATTCAACCGGAGATCAAGGATCTCATTCCCTAGAGCCCAGAGTAGGAAGTAAGGTAGAGCCCAAGACCGGAAGCCATGCTCGGACCTTCCAAGACTGACAGTAGGGGAGGGGCTCTGTGGCAGCCCCTCTTCCGGAATGGAGTTTGCCCTCAGCCCTCACCGAGTGTCTTGGCTTCATTCTTGCCATGTGCCCTCTACTGACTTGAGGACACCCTCTCACACTAGACTTCAACTTCCTGAGACTCCTCATGTGTAATTCAGTTATACCTCACCTGACCACTACTGCCTGGGGCATCCTAGACCTGGCTGCTGCTATTAAGTTGTGATGCAAGATTGAGGAAGAAGGGAGATTCTGGGGCCACTCTTGTCTCTTCTGAGCTGTGGAGCCCCTCACTCCTCACTCAGGGTCCTCACATTGACTGCTGGCAGGATCTTGGTTTTCTCCATTTTCTCATATGAATCCATCCCCTTCCTCTGACTATGTCCTGTACAATTCCTAAGAAGAAAGTGAGGGGACTTCTTAGCCTGGCAGCTATGTCTGGGATCTCTCTCTTGGCTGTCATCAGTGTCTGTATTCAACATTTTCATAAATGAATTTGTACCACTATCAGGTGGTACAAATATATCTTTAATATAAAGAATGGACTAAACTAGAATACCAGATATTACATGCATGACTCACTGCAACATTTGATATTCTCATTTAGTCCATTCTTTATATCATATTAATAGTATGAATTTAAAGGCAAGTTCTCTTCCACTAAAGAGGTTTTAGGAACTATTAGCACATTGTCTGGGTTCATACTTCTTCATCCTATCCAAATATTTTTGCTGTCCCAGTATTACCCCATGGAACTGGCACATGGGGTCTGAGTTCCTGACTGAATTTCCTTTAGTGAAGCAGAAAAAAAATGCATTGAACCATGGCACAACGAAGGAAGCAAAGACAAATATTTTAAAACTTTTCCTCTAGCCAATTCTGTTGTCTCCCTCTATTGTAGAGTTCATACCTCTCACTAGTTCACCACATGCCCCTACCTGCCCACACACCAGTTCTTGTTCAATACAAAATTACTGTTTCTCAGGGGTCTCATTTTTGTTTTGCTGTTGTTAATATTGTTTATTATTATTTTTAATTCTTCCTTTAACTTTTCCAGGGTTCAGTTTGGTCATGAGAAAGAACAGCCTGGGTTTGAGGCAATGAATCTGTATAAAGTTAAAGGAGAATCAACATCTTTACAATATCCCTTCCACAGTAAATATATATAGTATACTCCTTTATTGGAGACTTCCTTTTCCTAAGTCTTTCAGAAAATTTTTATGGCTGTCTCCTTAATGAACATGTACATTTCTATTTGATTTTTTATTAGATGTATTTTGGATACTGTTGCTGTTGTGAAAGATATATTTCATGTTACATGATATAATTAGTTATTGGTTCTTGTCAGGTTCCGTATTTGAACAGGAGGTCACATTGAGGAAGACCCAGGGAAAGGGTTCTGTAATGGGAGAAATTGCTGTAGCTAAACAAAAGCCAGCCCCATGACAGAGTCAGCTCTCAAGGAGCCTTATGACTAGAAGCAGCAGGATCCTCGGAAAATGAAGACCACATGCAGTCCCCAAGTCAGGATTTATTCTCATATTAACCTTTTTTCATTAGGACTGCTTATAGTACTTAGGCTACAGGATCTTTATTTTTATCACCTGAAATACATTTTGGAATCATAAAAAGAAAACTGAATAAACAGACACAAGATCTGCCTCAGGCTGGGTGGAGTGGAACAATGTGAACTTTAAACTAGTTCAGACCAGGGGTCTAGTCCCAGCTCTGCCTCTTAGGAGTCGGTGAACTTGAGGAAACTGCAAGTTTTTCATGAGCAAATGAGCCCGATAAGCCCTATCTTGTAGAACTGTTGGAATATATGTAATGTTTATAAGGCATCTGAAAAGGCAGTCTTTTAAGAATTACATTCATTACTGATTATTATTACCCCAGACAACAACACAAACCACAATAAAGTTTTATTGTTTTAAATCACTGAAAAGTCAGAAAATATGTAGCATTTTTGGAAAAAATAAAATAATGCTTGGCAAGTAAAATTGATGATTTTCCCTATTTAATTTTGAGTGGGCAAGTCTCCTCCAGCTGAATACAACCCAAAAGTCCTAAAATTTGTATGAAAAACAAAGAAACTGCCTCCCAGGTGTTTGTCCATCCAAATCACCTCTATTTTTATTTATTTCCTCCCTACCCAAAATCAAGCCCTCTCTAGAGTTCAGTCAATTACAATCAAGATAATCTACTTTTTTTGATGGAGTGGGCTCTGACCCTCACAGACCAGTGCAGAGTGCCAATTACACTCAAGATAACCTGTTTTATTTTTTGATGGAGTGGGCTTTGGCCCTCCCAGTCCAGTGAAGAGTGCCATCACCGTGGTTTCTGGACATCACATCTCAAGGAAGTATCATCCCCACTCTTCAGAAACACCGTGGAGATGATGTGCAGAAAACACCTAACTTTTGCACTGTGTTGACCTGTGGTGGGACATGAGCACAGGATACTTTTCGTTTCTGCCCCAGGTGGAGATTCTCTCTGGTTTACCCATAATTCCAAAGTATATGTTAAGGGCAGTTTTCCATTCCAGTTTTTAGTCTCTCATCTCTGAGATACACGGTCTGAGGGTCGGTCCCCTGTTTTCAATTGTCATGGCCTCATCTAGCCCACCATGCCACCTAACTTAAATTTACCTTTACAAAATTTGCCATGTCCCAATGCTTCCAACTGTATTGTTTCAGAGTATTTACACTTGACTGCTCTCATCTAAAACCGTCTCTCTTGCTCACTCCTTTCTTATACTTTATTATACTTATACTCCTTTGTTATAGTTTCTTATCACTTATTTACATCTTTAGTTCCACCATCCTCCTTATATGACAGCATCTGTAGACTCTAAAAATCTCTGGGCAATGGGCTGGTCTACTTCTTCTTCCTCTTCCTCTGCCTGGATTATGAGGAGAAGTTCTAAATAAGAGATACTTAATTAATAGTTGGAGAATAAGAGAAACGTGAATAAGATGTCTATGTATAATATATTGTGATTAAATTTCTCATGCAATTGTGAATATGCTAAGAAAATCCAGGTATGGATTTTTTAATTTTACAAAAGGAAATACCAAAAGAATAAGACAACCAAAAAATTACCAACATTGACTTTTTAAAAATGTATTGTTGGACCATAACTGTTTCAATTCTGAGTTTGTTCACAGATCTGTGAAAATTTCTGGTCCATTGCCAGGTTGTAATGTTCTAGATCACAAAAAAATGATTGAAAGTTTATACATTTGTTTTGTAAATATAAAATCTCTGGCTAATATACTTGGTAAGCAGTAATAAATATGTGATGCATATGATTTATGAACTTCGGCTCTGAAGTCAAGTAAACATTAAAGGGACAATTCAAAGGCAATAAAGCAATAATTCATTCAGTTCTCTTTGAAACTTGATTTGTATACATCATTTGATTTTAAAGGAAAAAGGACAGATGTGTGGCTCGTTCATTTTGAAGTATTCAATCATAACAGGTTATGTGATCTCTATCCAGGCTTTTTGAAAATTTCAGTTGTCACCCTTGTATATATATTCCTGTCTTCTTTTCATTTTGAACTCTAATTTCTGTGGGGTGACCTTTTCCTTATGACTTTAATATTCCTGAACTAAGGCCAAAGTGCCAGTGCCTTTGCCACTCAGTCATTATACCTGCCCTGAAAATATTTGCCATCAGTCTCTTTTGAGTACATCCTGTATTGCTGACATGGAGAAACCATTTCAAATTTGCTGCAGAGCAAACATAAAAATGGGGAGTAATTTTTGCTACACTTTTTGTTTTTTCTCACCTCTTCTGAGATGGTTTGGCTTTGTGTCCTCACTGAAATGTCATCTCAAATTGTAATCCCCACATGTCATGGGAGAGACCAGTAATCCCCACGTGTTAAGTGAGGGATGTGATTGGTTCATGGGGCCACTTTTCCCCCATGCTGTTCTGGTGATGATGAGTAAGTTCTCTTAGATCTGATGGTTTCATAAGCACTTGGCATTTCTTCTGCTTGCACTTTTCTCCATGCCACAAACTTGTGAAGAGGATGTCTTGTTTCCCCTTTGCCTTTTGCCACAACTGTACGTTTCCTGAAGTCTTCGCAGCCATGTGGAACTGTAAGCTAATTAAACCTCTTTCTTTTATAAATTACACGATGTCAGCTAGTATCTTTATAGCAGTGTGAGAATAAACTAATACATTTTTTATTTACTCCCACTTCCCCTTAACTACATTACCAAGTGTTTTTCTTTTCTTTTCTTTTCTTCCCCTTTCTTTTCTTTTTTCTTTTGCTGTCCAAATGCAGATAGAAACAGTGTCATTGAAAGCCCTTCTCTGGAGGAGAGCCTTTCTGGCCAGAGTCTCTGGACAGAAGTGCTGGATGCTAGATGATGAAGTGTAAGCCTTGCCTTGCATCATTTTTTTTTTTTTTGCCAGCTATAAGCTCATTTTGAGAACTCTTGAAGACCTCTAGGTCTCTAGACACTTCTCTGTGCTTGTTAGAAGCCCTCATCACCAGCCTCTTCCACTTCTGAAGCTCAAGGCCCTAGCACATAACTAAGATATGCTAAGATAGGCTTGGGTGGGCACCTGCCATGTTCAGAGTTGCTATAAACTTTATGCCAGCCTTGCCTGGGATATACTCTTAGGTGAAGAACATGCTTTGACTGCTCATAGGGCAGCCCATGGTTTCTGAGAGATTTTCAGGCAGAGTTTTCTAAAGTTTCCATGCAAATTGTAGGCTAGGTATGGAATTGGGAGGCACATGGGCACCACCCTGATTTCCTCAGTGGTGAAAGTCATTCTTAGTAAATATATTATTTGCAAATGCTGTCAAAACATATCTGTCTGTTCTCTCTGGCTACTTCTCCATGAATCTCCATGTGTCTTCCCATCTCTTTTTCCTCCCTTATCTCCCTTTACTACTTCTTTCCTCTCTTGGAGGTGCGATTGAGGATGGGTAGCAAATCCTCTATTTCCTGC